AGATTATAATTACCTTTTAGAAAGTATTAAATACACTATGTCTATTTTTAGTTTAAGTTCAATTTGTGTAAATGTTGTACATATAAGCTGTATACTATACAGACAGGTAGATTATTTTCTACATCTTTATTTTGCAAATCACTTCAGCTATACACCTCTATCAAGGAACATAAAGAATAATTCTAAAGAGAAGTCTATATTACCTCAATTCGTCAACCATATCCATATTCCATTCTGGTAACGTAAAATTAAATTCTTGAACTCTTCGATACGTGAGCTTTATTAGCCTCGGTGGAAACGAAATGACTAATAATTATAGCAATATTTAAATTGCCCTTATTCATAAACAACAGTCGCATGTTCCAAGACCATTTGACTGCAGCAAAATGATTAGGTATTTCAATATCTGTTTCAAACGCGCGGTATCCGCTAGTTTAGGTTTTCGCTATATATAAGTGAAGTTTTATAAACCTACACTGTATCATCCATACCTTTTTGTATGTATTTTTTTAATACTTCTAGTTTGTAACACAGGATTCATTTGACGGAGAAATTTTATTTAAACATGTAGTAACGCACTATGAATATATCTAATTGACCGTTTTAATTCCGTCCATCCTCAGAACTGAATTAGATGTAAATAACAAAACAAAAATACGTCTGTGAAAGAGAATGAAAACTGGAAACGAACCATTATACTATTACAGGGCGACAAAAATAGTATTAAACAGTAGGCTAAAAGCTCATATCAGTTTCAGAAATAAAAATACTTTACTACTTAACTCATTAGGTGGAAAAGGGATAATTAGTAATAGTTGTGAACAGTGAGGTCAGACCCGCCTCACTGTTCACAACGTAATCTATCAGACCGAACTCTACCTGTTTAACCTGGAAACCATTGCGGCTAATTCCAGCTAAATTTATCACGACGCGCTAGCTGAATCTTGTCAATGTCCACTGGTAACCAGAGCAGGTGAGTGCACCATACCATTAACATTTATGTTAAAAAACTCCCTAGTCATCTATTCTGAATGTTAACTAGCTGACTGAAATTAGACTTTGCCATTTAGATTGTCACACTAGAACCGATTTTATTGTATTATTGCTTTATGTAACCTACTTACGTATATACTTCTGTCCAATTTATCTCTGTTACCAAAATAATTAATTATCATCCTTATAGGTGCACTCAGGTCATTGCTATGAGACTACGAGTATATCACTCAACCTTATTCAGTAACTACCTATGTACGTAGGTATGTAATCTAAGTTAGATCAAATACCTACCAGTTAGTGCAGGAAAATAGATCTGATATATCTAACTAATGAACATAAACTTATGTATATGAACACAAAAAATAAAGGTACCTGCTACCCTTTACTTTATTAATAAAAACATTACTGGAAAGTACATTGAAACTACGTTATAGCTGAAATAAAAGGGTCTTGTACTATACAAATGGATAACACTATTGCAACGATATAAAATTGTAGGAGCAGGCAAATCAAATAATAAAGGAAAATTTCATTATAGTCCCGGTACAAATAGCCGAAGATTTTCGTGAAAAAGAATTCATTTCATTTGTAAGTTTCATATGTTATGGACAATACGAGTAAGTATGATGTACAAATGTAATATCAGACTTCAATACAAAATTGAAATTACTAAAAATCGAATTTTCTGTTCCAAGTAAAGGTTAGGTGCCCTAGTACTGTGACTCCATTGATAACAAACCATCTCCACAACCAACTCCACGCGGTCTCCCCTGGAAACCATAGTGGTAAATTTATCATTTGCCAAGATGGATTGACTGACATGACTTCATGCTTTATCATCCTCCACGACAATTGGCATAGGCGGGTTCATCATTCAATTATGATCCGTAAATATATATATGTATATTCAAAAAATTGGAGAATTCAAAACACTTAACGAACAAAAATGGAATATTATTATTATGTAAATACAAAACTACCACAATACATTAGTAAAACTGCAAATCGGTAATGGCGTTTCTGAGTTTAACACGCACAAACGCACAGACTGCTAGGTTGAATTATGGTTATAAAGTATAAATAATACTTTTTCTTATGTAGGTACTTATTTTCTATGTATAGACAGCAATAAGTTACGTTTTTTTATTATATGACATGGATTTCTACGATGGACATTAGATACAAATAGGGATCCACAAAAAATATCTAAAATATAAAAAGGGAAACGAAAATTTCCTGTTCTCCAGAGACGAAGTGAATAAATGATGATAATGTACCTACAAATATTTGCTATTGCGAAACATAGGGACCCGTCACTTGGTAACATTGAATTTGTGGCACCAACGTGATAATTGGAATTGGGGTTGTTGCTAATAACTCGCATTCGCGTTCGTTATTGCGAATTGCTTATTTGCTCGAACCTAATCAGTTTTACGAAATCAAAATTTAACTACAAGGGTATATTGATATATTTTAATATATCACGGGTATGGCTATACGGAAATATTTTAATGAATGCTACAATGCACTGATAATTTGTACGTCATTCGAGTGAAATTTTAATGAAGATTTGTAGGTAAAATTTTTATTATACTATATAAACCAGATAATTCTATGTAGAACTCTACCTTTTTTACGTACCTAATCGGAAATAAATGATCGCAAACAAGGAGATTCACTTAATTTTTAGAGATAACCGTAGGCAATATTCATGAACAGCACTACGGATATCACGTTATCATGTGACACCCGTCACACTCATTTGCTAGGTTGCTATTCCAGAGTACTAAAATGTCATCCCTCTTATCCTGTAATTTCACTACCTAATATACACCCTACAGCTGAAACACATCTTACAATGGTAGCTGTTTGTTTATAATATGAATGTTTAAAAAATAATAATAAAAATGGAGAAATAATTCGAAAGTTGTTTAAACAAATGAAGTCTTTTAGACGACTTTGTTTCTTTGACAAAAAGCTTATTATAAAATTGAAAAGTTTGGAAACAATAATGTTTTTGTAAAAAAAACTTAAAATTCATAGCACTGACAATATTATAACATTGTACTAAGAATGAATGCGTAGCGGATTCTATGTTGACTAGCGCATGCCTGTTACCTGTTAATGTATAATTATTTATTTTAAATAACATTTACTCAATTATCAAAAGAGCAACACACAAGTTTCTTGCTCATTCTTCTTGTAATGAGCCTACGTTCCGAATGAGTGGTAGAATAAAAATGTAACTATTCAAAAGTGCTTGTATTAAGTTTATTTGAATAAAGATTATTTCTAGTAAGATGATATGAAAGCCTTATAGTGCAAATAGGGTCATTCGTGTACCTATAACAAAAACCGATTAAACTAATGAATTTTTGAGAAAACAGAAAAGTCATTTTCTCACGCATTTTTTTAAAGTTACTGACAAAATAGTTTAATTATTAAAAATATATACCTAAGCTATCGTGGCACAAAGTTAGTTACCATACTCCTACGAAACGGCTTGACCGATTTTTATGAAATTTTATATTCATATTCAGTAGGTCTAAGAATCGGCTACTATCTATTTTTCATACCATAAGTGACAAGGGTTAATAAGATATGTGAAAAGTAAGGCGTTTGTTTTATTATTGTTTAAACATTTCTTTATTTTATTTTATATTATGGCAATAAAACATACAAACCTAAATTTTCACTCTTCTATAACCAACCCCTAGTTTTTAATAGAGATATTAGTACTTAAATTTTTATGACAAAATCTTTGCCGGGACAGCTAGTATTTTGTAATAATAATTGGTTTAAACTATGTAAATGGTCATATAGTGAAAAACGAAGTGTCTGACATAATTGTAATGAACTGTGTTATAATTATTTAAAAAATGTAAATAAGTGTTTATTGTTTACAGTTTTTCTTAAATATAACACAGATAGGAGAATATTACATACGTGTATGTAATTACAGTTTACAAGGAAATTGAAAGATTTTCCAAGTTTTTATATTTTTTGCCTTTTGGAACATCTAAAACATTCATCAGCTATCTGAATCACACTTTTCTCGACGAATCTTAAGTGTGAAACACTTTCCACAAACGGAATTAATACAAAAATGTCTAAATCTAGTTAGGTAATGGTTTATTAATTAGATACCATATATAATATAATATAGCAGATTTCAGTTTAAAGTTATGAAAAAAAATATTGTAACTATATAATATACATTTCTAAACTAGTGTATTCTGATGCATAAGCATCATTTTATAAATAGTCGAGTTGAAATTTTTTATAAGCAATATTATTATTTACTACGAGCACAGATAAGATAACATTACATACTACTTTATCAGAACATATCTCTCGAGATGGATGGAAATGTAGATCTCATGACTCATTGTTGTAAATGTAATGGGAATAAAAATTAACATAGAATAAAAATGCAAAGTTATCATTTAGTTTTATTTTAATATTGTTAATACATCATGACATTAAGGCTCCCGAACACGAGCCAACTAAGGACTATTTGTAAATAAAAGCTTATTGCGACATCTTAGCTGTGATTCCGCTAGCATTACTATTAGGATTTCTTGTTACAATAAAAGAAATAAAATGCAATTATTATTAACTAAAACTAACACTTCGATCTGAAAGTATTCAATTCACGAAAGTGGAATATTATTCGAAAATTACGCAAATAGTAATGCGTGTAATACTAATAATAGCATCACCTTACCGCGTTATTAAAGCTTGAGTTATATGTTTAATAAAAAAAGTTGGTTCCTTTTTACCAAAGCGGGAGAATACTGCGCCGAGTCTTGTATTATTTTAATATGTATGATATACATTATATTAAAGCAGCCGTAAAGTGGTAGAGTTATTTAGACCATAACATACTGAAAGGTAAAAGACGCGGGTCAAATCAATATTACCAATTTAACCGATTTCTACATTACGCTATTTTTAGTGACATTTTTATTGGTCGTTAAAACAATTGAGTTTTTTTATCATCTTCTTGTTGTATATTTACTTTGAAAAAGTATAGGGATAAAAAATTTGCACATAATGAATCTCTGTTTTACAAGGTTAGTCATATATTCAGCCGATAATCATGAGACTGAACGACCGACTTTCCCTAAGATAGCAAGAGTATTTAAAATAAATCTTAAAAAGATCATACAAATTGCGATGTCACAGCATCAAATTAGCGTGACAAGTTCAAAAGTAATTTATGGAGTTATCTTGTTTCGTAGTGAAAGTAGTTCAGTTGGATGAGTATTCTCCCTCCCTATCGGCTTGATATACCCTTTATGACTAATCCTGTATTAAACTAAGCTACTGATTACGCTGATAGATCCCGGCCCTGAAATCTCTCGCCTCGGCTTCTGTATAACCCGCGCTTTATGGTTAAGTTTTTAGCAAGGGCGACGATCAGGGCCTCTGCGGCGCGGTGCGGCTTTCAATATATTGTCAACACGCAGAATCATTTCTGCGGCTTCAGCGGCTGATACTAGAACTTGTCTTTTAACAACATATGACTCTGTCACTCCGAGTTTCTTCATGTCACCTACACGACCGTTCTCCATATCTACAAACATAAAAGTGTTGAAAATGTTGATTGTTTTAAATAAACTTAATGATGATTGTAAATTGATTTTATTAACTACTCATCAAGAGGCTTTAAGACAGGAAGAATTCATTAATAGTTCACTAATAGGATAACCCACCTCCACTCATGACTATACCAAAATAGTAATATATAGTAATATATTATTGAATCTCTTCTTATCCCTTGTTCACTTCCCCCCACAGTGGACCTTACAGTAATAGTAGCTTTGGTGCTGTAGAGCACTCCAAATATTACCAGATGCTCTCATATGTATTCTTTTGCCGCCCCACATGTTGTCCCATTAATAAAACAAGTAGATTTGAGAATTTGGAATAATGTAAGTGGCAAAATACACATACCAAGACCCGTGGTATTCTCCCCCTGGGCGTGGCTGGCGCGCAGCCTGGCGATTAGGTCAGCGCTATCGTAGCCGGCGTTGTCTGCAACGGCAGACGGCAATCGCCGTAAAGCGGTAGCAAATGCCTCAGCCGCCGCTGCTTCCTTGCCGGCCGTGCGAGCTGCCACGCGAGATGCCGCCTCCGCCATCAGCATTTCACTTGCGCCTGTATCGAAGAGAGTAATCCGAGTCTTAATTATGTAATGATTTTACTGACTTAAAATATTACAATTACAAACAGATTAAAATCTATATAGTTATGCAATTACGTATGAACCATTTTATACATTGACTACTCTTATTCATACTACCATGAATTTTATTCAGAGTGAGAGATAAGTTAGTTACATAAATCCAGAATTAAAAAAGGTCCGGATCATAATCATATAACTCTAAGTCCAAGCATTGCGTCAAAGGTTTGTACATCTTTTAACACCATAAACGGAATTTTTGCTATTTCGTCTAGTCAATTCACAATCCAATTTAAAAACAAATAAATGAAATAAATATTGAATAATCTTTGTTACTCAATATAATCTCTACTTTAAGATAAGATGGTGAAAATGTGTAGGCTTTATGAGGATTATACAATACCTGAAATTAAAACCATATATATTAAAACAACAATTGCACACAGTTACCTCCTCCATAAACAACTTTAGGTTCCTTGACAGTGGCAGCGAGTACACACAGGGCGTCATGAAGAGAGCGCTCCGCTTCATCGATGACCTGTTGTGTGGCCCCACGTATGACGACCGTGCAGGCGGAGCCCAGCTCCACACCCGAAAACCGAATCAGACACTCGTCGCCTATCAATACCTGCCAATGATTAATTAATCAACCTCTTTATAATTGTATCTACATTGCAACCAATTTATCGATTAAGTAGGAGAAAATTTAATAATAATAATATTGTCTCAGGACTTTTCACACGACGCCATTTGACCAGACAGACAACTAATATAGATATTTTTTTTTGTAAACTTTTACATAATACACATAACAAACCCTCAGATCAATACAAACAATCGTAATAACATATTCTAAAACATGTAACTTGTAAAAAATAAAATTATAACTAATTTATACATAAAATCAATGTTTTTCGAGTTTAATATTGCAGGTCTGGCAAAAAAATATAAATATGTGTGTGTCTAATCCGCAAACAGTCAAAGTTTTAGATGTTATCAAAAGAAATTTGTAGCCGTTACTACTGACGAGTAAAGTCAAACTTATATAATACTAGCTACCCACGCCGGCCTCGCACGGGTGTACATGTATTATACATATAAACCTTCCTCTTGAATCACTCTATCTATTAAAAAAACCGCTTCAAAATCCGTTACGTAGTTTTAAAGCATATATAGGGACGGACAGACTGCGACAGCGACTTTGTTTTATACTAATGATCCATTCAGAGAAAAAAGGGTATCTATCATAAGTATAAGAATATTATATTTATTTTATTTTATCAATCTAATAATAATGCTATTTAGCAGTGTATATTCACACGAAATCGTAAATGTGTAGTGATGAGTCTACTTTCCAAATTAATATATGTTAAATAAAAAAATATTAATGTGCTTAGAAATTAACAAAATTTAAGTATGTTTTTTTATTGAGGGGTTTAGGCTATTATCAGATGGTCTATATAGCTCGCAGTGCTAGATGCAGTCCTGGATTTATAAATAGGCCATATAGACCGCAGCCTAGGGGCGGCAGATTTCAGAGGGAGGACGGTTACTCGATTTCAAAGGATAAAAGTCAAACACGTTTACTTATTTTCTCATGTTTTTTATACTTTATGTAAATCTAAATAAATCCCTATAGAAACTCATTTCTATCGAAACCTGTATTATCCCGTGAGTGATAGATAAGAGCAGCAGTTTATTTAACTTTAAGGCCTTCTTTACTATAAATGGAAAATTATTATTTTAAAAAGGGGAGGAGGCGGAAATTAAGTGGCCTACACTTATAAAAAATATAAATCCGGCTCTTGCTAGAGGTCTAACCTGTAACACTGCGACCTATATAAAATTATTGGTTTCGCTCTTTTTCAAAATTCATTACAATAAACCTATATCTATAATTTTAAAGTGATTATAAATGTATATTACCTGTTCGATAAGCTTGCAATGGCCAAGCTTAACTTTATCTGGTGAATCAAACGTGGATACAATTTCACCGCCAGTGACAAGAGCTAGCCGCTCAATACCATCAAAGTCTGCATGTTCAATTGCCATAACTCCCGCATCAGCAAATAGTTGCTCAGGGTAATTGTAAATTAATTGCCTAACAGAGAAAGATTTTAATTGAAATAAATTCTATTAATTGTTAATATTTAATCTATAGAAAAGTAGCATAATAAATGTGGCTATCTTCGCGCGACATATCATAAGAGGTGGCAATCTGACACAATATATTGGATTAATGACATAGTAGTTTGTTTACATATAAAACTATTTGTGCTTTTATTAAAAATGATTCTAAGAAATCAATTGTCTTTTATAATAATTAAAACTATATTTTTTAACTACAGGAATCGACATCAGTAATCTGTGAGACAAGTTAATCAATATTACAGTTAGAAAAGTCACAAAATTATGTTTAATAACAATACATAAGTATAGGACTTATTAACCCCCATATAATTAGAAAATTACCTGTTGATAAATACATTACACTTGTGTGTCAAAATTTTGTTCACTTTATCCTTCATTTTCTCTTTCTCAGCCACTTCAAGTTCCGCAATTTTTGCCATAGAGTCTACTTTAATAGTAGACCCAAACACTTTGATCTTATCTGTGTCCATAGGTGTATTAGCTATGAGGATATTTGCATTTTCTAAGCGTTTAGGTTGATGCACACCAACCTAAATTAAAATAAAAAACAAATGTAAAAATACATAATAGTAAATAATTAATAGAATAATATGTAATTGTTAATATTACTTTTTTATTCAGTAAGAATCCCTCATCCAGGAAAGATTCTTCTAGAAGACCACCAGGTATCTTAATAATCTGTATGGCTTTCAAATTTCCAGAGCCTTTAAGTCTCAATACTGCGTCTACAGCCAACTTTGTGAAATGTCTGCAATTGTCAAATAATGCACGAAATTAAATAATAATTATTATCAGTTGTCACAATCTCACAGTATGCAGGTAGTACTAAGGAAAACTTTCATTACTTACATAGAGCTATGTGAACTTACTAAGTCAAGGTAAAAGCAGACGAAATACAGTCAACCTATTATTAAGTCAATTAATGTCTATAGTTTTTAAGAATTACTCAGTAAATACATTGCTCTTAAAAACTAAAGCAATTTGATAACCTTTCAAAATTAGAATATTTCAGGCTGCAAATATATAGTGAACACTATTCTCAATTCCAAGATAGCTTATATAGATGGTAAAACAAACATAATATCTTGTTATTATTCATAAGTCAAAATAGTATTTATTCAATAATTTGTCAGATTATAGGTATTGTATTCATTATAAATATGTTAATATATATTTATAATGAATATAATACCTATAATCAAATTAGTAAAATGAAACATTAAATACAATTATTTTTTATCCATACCGCTTTTGGATCTGCATCACTAGAAAATTTATGCATTAGAATTAGAATTTACTTATTACTTCTCTGTTTATATACATCCATGACATGAGGTCATGGATGTATATAAACATATATAAACATTTTCTTTCTTAGTTCTATTGGTTAATATATAGTATAGTATAGTATAGTATAGTTGCAATTAAAATATGAGTTTTAATTATATGTAATATTCTTTTCTTGCTGAGTAGTAAACATAATTTGTATTTATTGAAATTACTCACTCTTTATGATTAGACAAAATTTTCGAGCTGAGTGTAGTTCTTGCAATATTCTCAAGGTCCAGTCTGAGTGCAGCCTCATTGAGGTTCTTCTCATGATCAAAGCTGGCATCAGATAGTGCCTGTTTGGCAGCATCAACAGCAATCCTCCACCCTGCTATAATTGTTTGTGGATGAAGCTTCTGCTCAATAAGTTTCTCAGCTTCTCGTAAAAGTTCGGCCGCTGGAAGTAAATGTTCAAATAAAATTATAAAACATATATACAGTATCTGTACTGTTAGAAAGCATTTCAGTTTAAAACCAAAAAAAGTTCTTTGGTTTAATGACTATTGCTTGTAGCTATGTAGTTATAACCTAGACTATAGTGGATGGCGAGTTAATATAAATTAATTCAATATTTAATGATATGAGATGTTGTTGAAGATATAATAGTTTTATTTTATTACCTTAAAATTGATGCTTAATCAACTAACTATACAAACTAAGAAAGTCAGATTTATCCTTAACCCCACCAAAAGCAAAATAATATTTATCCCCCAATCTATAGATACCAACCTTATTTATAGCTTTGACATTATATAATAATAGATATCAACATTAAAGATGACAAGTATGTTGATAACTTAACATAGTCAGATTTGTTAGTGAGTACAAATCTAACTAAAAAAACATGTAAAAAGAAGTTCATAACTTTTACATGCTACTGAAATTTTTTACATAGACATTACATTTTTAAGAAATGAAAAACTAATATAACCATGACATGAAAAAAGAAGTAAGAAAATGAAAAACAAACTAATGTTTTCTATAACCAATATAGGTACCAAGATAAAAGGAAAAGAGGGAGTCTAAAGTGAAATCGGAACATGATTATAAAGTTGAACCAACTATAAGTTCATTGAGCATAGTTAAACAATATTATTATATTGCATTTTATCACAGCAGTGGAAAAATAATAATAGATCTAAATGGAAAAATAAACAAACAAGCTAATTACAATTATTGGCAACCATCACCATTATACATGAACAATATCAAAGACTTCACATTACAATGTCATACTCATGGTACTTCAATTTAATAATAAGTGGGTTATCACTTATTATTAAATTGATATATATACCCTATAATTTCTCTACCATAGCAACCTTGTACCATACACCCCTTACACAGCAAAGTGTATAGGGTTGATGGTGACGTAAATATACCCAAGGATATGAATTTGTACACTGTACAAATCAAAATAGAGCAGTAATCATTGTACATCCTCATATGACAATGACTAATGTTTTATTGTTTAATTATGGGAACTATATTTCTTGTCACCAAAATTTATATTTGTCATCAAGTTGCATCATTTAATAAATAGATCTATCGCTACAATATATTTTCGTTCTCAGTTAAAGAAAGTGTTCCAAAAAAATACATATAAAAATATTTATTTGCTACTAGACCCTATACCTCCATGATTTTAGATGATTTATATTGGAATTGATTTTATACTGTTTGATATCTACATTTAGGTGACAAATCTGCTATCTTGTGGGCAAACACTATTATTAAGGAAACATAAAACTAATTAAATTAATAAAATAATATTAAGTAAATAGCTTAAATGATACCCTTTAATTATTGCAATTATATTAGTTCATATTTATGGTATCAAAACAAAAATAATAGATTACTGCAATCAATGACTTACCCAAAACAGTGACTGAAGTGGTACCATCACCAACTTCATCATCTTGAACTTTAGACATATCAACAAGAATTTTAGCAGCTGGATTGTCGACACCCACTGACTTTAATATTGTAGCACCATCGTTTGTGACTTCAACCTAAACAATAAAAACTATGTAATATTAAGCTCATAAGTTTCTTTAATGAGAAATTTTTGGTCATTTCATTATTTTTATTTTATAAATAGCATAAACTTGGATTAGTTACATGTTCATAACTCAACTACAAATAGCAGAAGAACTATTAATAATTGTATAACTATATAATATTTGAATTGAATATTATTAAAAAAACATTATTGAATTTAATTTTCCAATTTCGTGATATCTCAAAACCAATTGATTTTGATGAATATAAGAGGGCAGTGAAAGATAAGTTTACCGAATAGCGTAGCTTTACGAATGTTGTAATATTTAATAATTTCTTACACATATTATTTATAACAAGTTTTCACTAACCTGACCAGCATTTCTCCCACAAGAAACTAAAATCTTGTCCATCCCTTTTGGACCCAGGGTACTTTTTACTAAGTCACCGATAGCAATGGCACCGATGAAACTAGACATTCGAGCCACTTCGGCTTTTTCTTCTTCAGCTTCATTTTTCAAAATTCTGATCGGGTTTAAGGACACCTAAACGATTCAAAATTAAAGAATAAGGCACATGTGAAGAACAATTTGCACCGTAGAGAAGCTGTGCAAAATTTAAGCATAGTGATTGATTACTTCGTTACGGCTATTAAGTATAGAATTGATATTGAATTTATTCTTACCATTTTTTATATTTTCTCACAAAATAAAATTAGATTAACAATAATAACCTAATAAAATCAAAATTAAATATCACTAGACCAAAAGCAGAAATACCGTGTGTTGCCAGATCACCGTCTGGTAATTCAGATATTCCCCTAAAATTTGCCCAAAAATCAATTTAATAAAAAAAACATCCAAAAAACCAAGTCTGATTGACGATCATGTTCTTAAGCCCCTAAAAAATTAGAACTAGAACTAATCTGTTATAGAGCAACTATCACTTGTCCTTCCGATAGGTATCGGCATACCGATTGTGCAGACAGGTACTACTAAAAAGTAGTTAGTATACCAGAGAGGTGCAACATTATGTCAATCTCTAACGTAGGTGGGGGGAGGGCATTGTTAGTAATGTGGACTGATACTGATGATCTTATTCCTGGCAACCATAGTGATAAATTCTTAGTAAATTTATCACGATGGGCTGTCTCCGGCTGACTGACCTGTCCTCATGCTAATCTTACCATCCTCCATTCATGCAAGAACATGTAAAGTGGCAATACTGAAAACAACTGCCTAAATTACACAGTTGCCAATTTATAATTTTTTGCCTTATAAATAGAAGCCTAAAGATGGGGATTGGAAGAGGCAGAAATAGGCGTACATTTTTATCATTCCAGATGGGGGTTGGAAGAGGCAGAGATAGGCTAATATTTTAATTACGAGGCAAAGAATTATTTAATAATTTTTCATTATTGTTTCTGTTTAATAAAGATAAATTACTCACAATCAGTAAGTAATTTATCTTAAATTTTCTTCAGTACGTATTCTTTAATTCTCTAAGTATTTTAGACATCTGGCAGAATTATAATAGGATCACAACCTAACAGCATACGCCAAAGAAGTAAAGCAAAGCGCATAAACTATATTTTTTATATTACAATTTTAACGTTTTAATGTTTTTTTTTATTTTTTAACTGATTCTAGCCAAAATCGCAGTTTAAATTTTTACATACGACAATAAAATGTGTGGTCTGTAACGCCTTCGCAGTAAAAAATGTTTTATGTAAGTACAAGAACATATATAAATTTATTTACGATTTTTCTTTGCAGATTATTAATTCCAAAATGCTGGAATTAATTGTTAATGTGCTAATGCTTCAATAACTAGTCGTTACACTATTTTAACCAGTAATTCAAGCAGCAAGTCAAGAAAAAATACCGGTATTATATAGAACGACCTACAAGATATGACAAAATCATCGATATCGACTGTTTTCTAATATCGTTAATCCTTAGGGTAAATGTTGTATGCTGTATGGGAATGGGGAGCCAAGTTACGATTTTTTCTGCTCCTTTGTTTGAGGTAAAATAATTTAAGGTTGGCAATCTCGAAGATACAGTTTTAACTGACTAAATACACGAAGTATCGTCGTATTTAAACTGTAGACTAAACTGAAAAACTACTACATGACATTATAATAATTAATTATAGTAAACTGAATAATTTAAACTATTGGAATATGGGAAACAAGAGCAGTAAGTCTGTACTTGACAAATTGGAGCAGACCCAGAACCAGACCGATCAACAAAAAAGAGTCTGTAAAAACGGCTGCCGAGTACTAGAGAGAGATGAAATAAATTTAAACCAGAGACTAGATAATTTAAATAATGCAGCAGCGCAATTTAAGCAAATGAAAGATAAAAAATAAGTGGAAAGGGAATTGATAAAGATATATGAAATATTCTTTCCTGACATGACACAAAATACACTTCTCATAAAAAAAATTTACGAGTTTAGTGAACATTTAAGGTGCATTAAAACGCAATGCTACTGAAATACTTAAAAATGATAAACGACTTAATTTTTAATTTTTGAGTGAGTTCGATGTTGGTATAAGTATTTCAATATGTACCTAATATAAATAAGTTTATATTGTTATATTTTGTATAATATTTGTATTTAATTTGCACATAAATTTTATAAAATAATATATTATAAAGATTATTTATTTGTGTGATGTTAAATTACAAAACTATTTCAGTGAATTAAGTAAAGCTGTAGAAAGTGTAGATTTCTGAAACAAAATTTCATTATCAGCGAGTTTTGAGTGATCTATTTTAAAAATGAGATATTATGTGAACATTTTGGCCCGTTTAAAAATTAAAAACGAGTCAGCCTGCAAGTTAAAAAGAATAAGAACTGTGGGAAAACGATATGATGGGATGGCAATACATTAAGGTGCTGACTAAACCGACCGAAGGAACGAAGAAACTGACTGACTAATCTGCTAAACAACTAAATTTTTGTTATCGCCATTACGTGTTTTACGTGATACTTTGCATTATAGTATTAATCAGTGGATTTATAATAATAATTGTTTTGTAAAATGGAACACCAAGGCGGCAGTTCTGTACCCCGAGTAAGTGACAAACGATTAGCGCAGACCCAGGCGCAAGTCGATGATGTTATAGGTATAATGCGTGTTAACGTCGAGAAAGTTTTAGAAAGAGATCAAAAGTTATCGGATTTAGACAACCGAGCAGATGCTTTACAGCATGGAGCAGCGCAATTTGAACAGCAAGCTGGTAAACTGAAAAACAAGATGTGGTGGCAAAATGTAAAAATGATGTTGATAATTGGTGCCATAGGCGCAGTGCTGCTAATCATTATAATTGTGTGGGCTACCAGTGGATCTGGTAATAGTGCTACAAATGCTCCCGCCGTACCGCCACCACCAGCAGATTCGGGTCGATAAGCTTTGTATTTACAGATGACAACAATGAAAGTGGATGAATTATTAATAACATGTAACTACGGAATTACATCTGAACTGTATAACAATATTCACACAGAGACCAAATTACGATTAAACTATATATTTTTTACTTGGAGTATACACAAAACACTGCTCTAAACATAAAGACTTGTATTTCTACATTTACAAATTTACTAGGAAATATTTGATATACATCTACAAATTTATATATAAAAAGTTAATAAAGTTATATGTTTAGCACAATATAAACTGTGAATACTATTTAATATAAATGAAAGACTAAAATTCTATTTTGGGAAGTATATATATGTTGTGTATAATATATCTTGGATGTTGCTTTACAAAAGGCCTTTTGTAATTTTATATCATGTTAAAATACTTAAAAAGTGGCCAACTTATTTGTACCAACTTTGTGATAAATGGTTAGTATTAAAGTTATAACTCATTGAGCTTATTTATTGGCCTAAATGTAATGTTGATATTTCTACATAATCAAAATTATTTAACGTCTTGTATTTTTAATAAATTGTTGAAACTATGTAACTCCCTAATCTTCTCAGTCTATTTATGTTTGTTAACACAATTGTTAAGTATTCATTGACAATTTTGCATGATTTCTTATTTATTAAATTGCTTTTCAAATAGCATTTCGTTTCACCTAATTTTTTCTCCATGCATGTGTTATGTTATAACAAAATAGCACATATTTAGCACATTTTTAATTATATTTTTGTATAAAATTAGGGTATTATTGTCTGTTTAGCACTCTTCATTTAGGTTGGGGTGATTCATATTATTACATGTTACTGAAACTGTAATTACTACTTCATTATCTGTATATTGTATCAAAAACGTAGGAAAATTTATCAACTCTATGTCTACATTGAAAGGGAATTAATAATATAAATAATGTACATGTACATACAATAAAAGGGACCAAGACCAACAGTAATATCATAGGTTTCATATCATATTTGAGGTCCATTACACTTATTCACAGGTCCACAGTGATTAATGTTAATTATTCTACTTAAACATACTATGCTATATTATATTAGTTGTTTTATATTGTATAAGAAAAGTAATAAATGTATATTCTTTACATTTTGCTTTTCAATTACCTTATCATAAGGTGTATATTTTTTTCAGTTCAAACTTTATCAGTGTACAAGTACCTTCTGATAAATATTTTTCATTAGTGACACTTGATTCATAATACATATATTCATGTTATATATCCTCATAACTCTAATCCCAGATGGGGAACATTCTCAACTCTCGACATAGACATTACATGGTATCTATATGGCAGGATAGGTTCTGTAAATGTGTATAATTCTCTGAGAATGTTTTATTCCATTGTAGAAGGAACTTGAAGCATTACCTTCTTTTAAATTACTGGGATATGTTTTTTTAAGGGATTGTAATGGAATGGTGCACCCGTCTGCGCTAACAGTATATGATTGCAGGGCACAGTGGAGGATGATGAGATAAGGTCAGGTCATCATGGCAAATTCTCAAGTATTTAGCATGATGGTTTCCAGCAGGAACCATATAGATGACAACCTGACATGGTACATTGCTAGAAATGGGGTTTTATTAATTCACATTGCTGGCAATCCATCCCCTTAACTCTGGAATATGTTTGTGCTGGATGAATACTTTAGTACAGGCATAATAAATATTTGAAATATTTATTATGCCTGTACTAAAGTATTAACTGGAATCCCACTAGTGATTGATAAAAGGCATGAGAAGAAAATCAGCTCATATAGTCTATCGTCATGATAGACTATATGAGCTGATTTCATTAATCACTATTAAACAATGGTTTTTTGAGAAATTCACACAAGTGTTCCGAACCATAAATGTAATGTAAAATATGGGTTCTTTTACCCATATTTTGCGTCTTTGTTAATCCATCACTACAGCGTTATAATTAGGCTACAAATTACTACAGTTAGTTTTCCTATAGTCATTTATATTTAAAATTTGGAATATAGTTTTGATTCAGTTGTCCCAATAATAACTGTTAAGAAAATTTTCATTGCTAGGACAATATGTGAAATTTAATGCTGCATAGTTAATATTTGTATTGCTTTTAAATTATTATAATAAATTTACAAAAAAATATTAATAAGTTTTTAAGTACAAAAACCTATGTTTGCACGAGTCATCTAGTGCCCTTGGCATTAACTCACTTGGTTCGGGGCTAGATGGCGCTGAGTGACATGTCAATTGGTAAGAGGATAAATAAATGTATTTGTCACAACAAAGGCAATCGACGTCGCGGATAAACACATAGTTCATTCTGAAGAGTTGTTTTATAAAGGCTTATTTCGCTATGCTATACGGGGCTTGCCCCGAGGCTGTGACCTTCATCTCCTAGGGGGGCTGCGAATGAACAGTCAGCTTTTGCTATACGACAATATTTTAATGCTTAAACTGCCTTCTACCGGTTTAGCAAACCGCCTTATTTCCAATGGTCGCGGGTTCGATTCCTCGCATAGTGCAATCATTCGTATTCACAAATATGCTTGTTTGTATTGATCTGGGTGTTTCCTATGTATAAGTAATACAATAAAATCGATTTAAGCATTGTTTAACGCATTAATTGACCCCGAGAATGTTGCCTTCTTCTGATGTGTTTGATAAAGCTTTCGTTTGGGATAATAATAATGTGGCGGAAATACTTTGGAACTTATAAATTCGAAAGTGGAAAGTAGTACTTTGAATCAAGTCACCCGCAAGCAGCTGGTGGTCACATGCAAATCATTAAGAATTGGTACGGATTGTTCGCTTGCGATACCACACCCACCCACGGCGTATCTCAATATGGAATTCTCAAATCGGAAATCAGCTACCAAGGCAGCTTACTCAAGACTATAGTACCGTAGTAAACTTTATCTTGCCTTAGATGGAGTAACATTAAAATAACCCACGTATGATTCAAGTGTGACACTGTCAATTATATGCAGTAAAAAACGTTTTGGTAAATAGGTACCTACTAAGTAAGAAATTTTGTAAAAAAAGTAGCATGACCTAAGTTTCCACACATAAGATAGACTACCTATGTAATTTCTAAGATCATAGGTAACTTTATGCTTCTAGTGATAAAACAAATGAATTGGCAATATACTTAATTGGTTGATAATATCGTATTGGTAGTATTAGGTATTTTCTATGTTTTTAAGCGATCATCTATCAGACTTATCATTTGCAATTTTCTTATCACAGTGTTCACTGACCTACCCGATATGCACACAAAATTTTATAACAAGCCGTTTCGACGGTGATTGGTAACAAACACTACAACACGAGAATTAATCACTGCTGTGTTGCATCCCACTAGCGACAATTTCGATACTATAAGGATCCATTAAGGGGGTCTTCCTATGTGATGGGTTGAAAAAATAGATTTTTTTTTTTTCATAAATTGCTCCCTTAACATGTCTAGAATACGGTAGTAAAGCGATTTTAGAAAATTCGAAGTCGTTTTAAAGATACAGCAGGTAAAAGAAAGAGCGGTTCGGAGCGGTGAGTTGGCAGTTAGAGACCGGGCCTATTGTGTACCGTCGGCTTTATACCTGGCCTCCCTTTTATTAATATATTTGTTTATACAAGTTTAGACACGTTTCTACAGACTTAAACAGGAAAAGGAGCAGGTAAACTTACTGATAAAGTTATCTAAGAAATTACAAAATTCTACGGATTAGCAATTCGACGCCATCCAGATTCGCTTGAAGATATGAGAAAGGAAGTTTGGGCAACGTACTATCACAAATGTTCTTCTGATGAAAACCCTCAGCATCAATTTTGTCCAGAAGGCGAAGACAGTTGGTGTAAATGGCGTAAGGCTGAAGCTAATAATGAACTGGACCAATTTCATCACGATAAACCACCTCTAATTCCGCAAGTCCAAGAAGCTATCAAACCGGTTTTCGAAGATTTATCGAAAGACGAATTATTAATTCGTTGTTTAGGAGCAGAGACACAAAACAATAACGAATCTTTGAATTCTTTGATTTGGACTTTCGCTCCTAAACATCTTCATTCTGGTCCCAAAGTTGTTGAAATTGCTAGCTACTTAGCAGTTATTATCTTTAATGAAGGTTTTCAAGGTATTTTAAAAGTTATGTCGATTATGGGATGCCCTGTTGGTCGTGAAGCCCAAGCGTATGTTGAGAAACGGGATGAAAAGCGAATCTTACGCTCTGAGCGGCGCGTAAGTGATGTCGTTAAACAAGCCAGGATTGACTCAAGAGCTGAACAATCTGCTTTAAAAGAGTTTCACGAGGAAGAGGAAGGAATACTCTATGGACCAGGCATCGCCGATTGAGAGTAAGTTGATATTTTAATAGTTTTTAACGGACTTGAAACTTTAAACGCGTTTTTCTCAAAACTGTGTTTTTCAAACTTTCCTCCATTGTATCTCAGAAACGGCTGGACCGAATTACTTGAAATTTACAGGGCACACTCAATATATGTAAACGCATGGAATGAACTATTATCAATCGAAAATTTTCAAAACTTCGATTTTTTTATAGCAAAAAACAAAAAAAAAACGCCTATTTGCAACTTTTATTTCAAATGTCTATCAAAAATCCAATTTTTTTTATATTCATTTGATTATAGGTCATTCCGTGCTTTTAAGCCTACAAATTAAAACGCCGTTTTTTTTTTTTTTCAGATAAGCCGATCAGCCGGAATCGTGGAGGAAGTGGGAGCTCTTTTTTTCGAGGCGGGGGTGTTCAGAGCGCTGTAACTCTAGTTTGACTGAATATTTTTAGCTGAAATTTTATATTTATACTGTCCAAATATGTGTTAATAAATGATAAAAAACTTGAAGCTCTAAATATTTACTGGTCGTAGAAAAAAAATCCTAAAATATCCCTAAAAAACAGGCCGTCACATAGGAAGACCCCCTTAAGATGCAATGCTAGTCTTTGAGTTTTTCAATCTTTTTATATACAATCTCTGATAGGTAAATTGTAAAGAACATATTTCTGATTGTACATGCGTATAGATATGGTATATAACTTCACGACAGATCTGGGCAGGCAGAGTCAACCAGATGCCATTGCTATCCCTTATATATCATTTACACTTGCCTTATATACCTATTGTCGTCGCACGTAGATTCCGAAGACTAATGACACTTCCATCGGACAAAATACGATAAATCTGATCAAAACCCGAAACTCTAACAGAATCTA